ATCCTCTTCTACCATGCCATACTTAGCCCATTTGTACTGGATAAAAACTTACGGAAGGATTAAAGTGAATAGCATTTCGGTTTCTAGAATCTCGGTCCCTAACATGTTCAGGATACTCTTTTGGAGAAATCATAGATGGCACATAAACTAATTCTTAAAGTAGATCAAAGGAGCTTGTAGCTTCATATCCAGAGGAAAGGTGATATAAGGAGTGATACAGAAGACTGACTGTAGTTGATAATAAATGAATGAATTATTTCAGATCAAATTTCCTAGCTGAAATTTGTTGCACATCTATTAAGTGCACACCTTATATGTTAATATCCTTTCTTATTTTGATTGGTAGTGATCCTGTAAGAAGTTTTCTCCTAGTACCATTTTTTGTGAAGTTTTAACTTTCTCTTTATCCCAACCCACAATTCTGGCTGCACCTCACCACCTTCCCCAAGGTATGGGTACTTAGATGAAATTCTTCACCTGCCTATCATCTAACCCTGCCACAGCAGTCAAAACTGTGTTATTTCCAGACTTCTTGTCCAGAGCGCTTGACAATACATGCAGTCAGATGAGACCACTGGGATTATTTCAGTTTTCTGAGTCTCCCAGACCTGTCACCTCACAGCAGCATGGGTCTGATTCTCAAGGATTCATTGATATTCAGAGAAGCTAGTTTGCAACAGGCTCCTCTCCAGAACCATGCATGCTCCATCTGTGCTGATAACACAGTGTTCTTTGGCAGAGAAAACTAGAGGAAACCAGCAAGTGAATTCATTTCATTACCCCAGACATTATGTGAATGGCAAAGCACTTTTATATTATATGCTGCTGTCAAATCCTTGCCACCTGTATGGCTCTGTTTTAACAGGCTGTCTATTAGGAGTTACGATAGCATGTCAGGCTTGAGATCTTGTATCCCATGTCATGTCAGTTTGTCATAATGATGTTGCTAAATATTAATTTACTTGATATCTTTAATCACTGTTAGCAATTTTGTGGTGTTCAAAGACGGCATATAAACCTCCCTGAATCTTGAAGCATCGGGAAGTATTGGGAACTGAAAAAGAAGATTATCAAAAGCCAGTGAAACAAAATAGATTTGGGTGGTTGCTCTGGAATTCAGAGTTTTCATAAGGAAGTTGTTTAGCTATTAACAATGCACTTGGGATATTTAAAATAGCAAAGAAACAACTGAAGGCAGTTCCATGTTCATTTAGAATGAATAAAATAAAGTGAATTATTGCATTCACATGAAATGGTAACTACCTTAAAGGGAGGTTTGCTGATCTAAGTCCGTGGTATTATGAAAATAATTTAAGCTAAATAAATACTTTGAGAGTTTAAATAGTCACATATTCTTATGCAGTTGTGCTTTCTTTCTTTAGCTCTGCACTGCTGCATAAGTTGTTTGGAGGCAAAGGTGTTTTTCAGCCAAGCGTGTACTGTCATATAGCTCCACTTAATATAATGCAATTAGAATGGAGCTTTCAACTTTGGGGAATCTTCAGACATATAATCCCTCACCTGTGGTCTAAAGTGATACAGTTAATTCACTCAAGTATCACATTCTGTTTTATGAGTAGGTCAGGGGCTGCCAGTCTCTTTGAACCAGCTGTCACATTTTGAGTTTTGAAAAAGTGCTATACGCACCAGTCACAAAACTGGTCTTGACTGTGGATATCACACAATATAGATTCACTACCCCAACAAACACACAATGGTGCTGTTGCTGTCTATTTATATCCCACCTGTCTTTCATCATTAACCCAAGGTAGTTTACGTGTAGTTCCAAGCTGGTCATACATTCAAGCACGACCAGGTTAGCTTCAGCAAAGTAGTGGCTTCATGTTCCTTCAGATCATATCCTGAGCTTATAGATCTCTTAATGGAGGAATTCATTGTCAACAGTTGGAGTCTGGACCCAACCCATAGTATGGTAACAGAACAAACAAAAATCTGATCCAGTTTGTTTTGTTCAAATACATTTTTTTTCCTTACCTGCAGAACATTAATGGCATTGGGTAAAGATCTCTGTACTAATCCCTAAATAACAATCAACACATCATCTTCATATGTAACTATATAATATATCAACTATCAAAATGCCCACCAAATTTGTTGGGTATGTGTATAGGGAAATGGAGGGCTCTAACTAACACTCAACTCTTTTCCCATTTGTCCCCCTTGCAGCTCACTTCCTGGGTTCAAGTTCTGGATCATTTTGGTTCAGAGCACCAGTTTTGGCTTAGTTCTTGGTGAGAAAGGTTGGATACAAAGCCCCATCAGCTTTCTGTCTTGAGAGAGCTTATCCAGATAGCTACAGAGGAGGGAGTTCTCTTCCTTTCACAGCCTTCACCCCCTCCCTTTCCTCAGGCTCTGCTCTGCTCAGACATTTCAAGATTTGGAAGAGGATAGCATGCTGAAAGACAAGAACAAAATTAGGCATGCCTTTTGGATAGTAGTTAATGCTTGCAAGTTGGTCGAAAATGTTACTTGATTTGTATTATTTAAATTAACTTTAAATAATTGACATAATTAGACAGAATATTCAGTTATAAGAATTAATTGGTTGGCATAGCTATTAGAAGAGAATTACTTGGTTTCTGTTAGAAAGGACTACACCTTTAATAAGGAGACATAATTTGATTTGTTGCTGCTCTGGCAAGCCCAGTTATATGTGAAATCTAAAATGTATTGGTGTCAGTTACTACTGCTTTAGTTTTTGTTAAATTTTCTATCACTCACCATAAGAAAAAACAAATTGACATGTATATATTTTTTTAATCACAAAGTTCCTCAGTCAATTTGTGATGTATTGGACTGTGACATGCTATCTTCAAGATAAAACAGGGCTATATTTTAAAGAAATCGTCAATGCAGTTTCATTTCTTTGTCAAGAAGAATCTGTGGTGTTTGATCAGTCAGGCATTTTAGAGCTCAGTTTTACTGAGCCACTTCCTACTTACAGGAAATGAAATCGATATGGTGGCCAATGTATTGTGTAACATTGACTGAGTTGTTTGATGGTAAAAGAAGAAATGTGGAAGTATAACTCACTCATTACTTCACTCCCTTTAATTATAGATTCATTCTGCAGCATACTCCCCCGTGTTCTGATTAGATGCCATAGCTTTAGTGAATATTTTCTAGCAATTTCTTGCACAGAAACTGGCATTACATGTGAATATGTTTTTACTATATTGCTCTTGAGCAGCAAGGTTTATTATTACTATAAAAGAAAATACTTTCCCCCTCCAGCCTTAAGAAATTGTTTGTGAAGTGACACTTGGGGAAGGCTGGAGGGGGCGAGTATTCAAAGTGCTATCAAAAAGGGGAGCAAAAGGTCAACATCATTGTCCAGTGATCAAATAAAAATAGCTTTTGTTTGAAAGTGCTGTTTCAGATGTTGATACTTCCAATCAACACCCAAATGTTCGAATAAAGAAGTGCCCGTCCCAGCATACAGATCACATATTCAACTAATAGAAAACAGACTTTTAAGCAATAAGAAATTTTATTTCATTACCTCATTAAAAAGAAACTTGATAGCACCTTGCACATTTTCTCTTGTTGAACACTTGCAAGAAAGTCAGCTTAGCTTCCCACTGCTTGCCTACATGTCCCTCCCCACCCCATTTCCTTTAACAACAAACAATTACACTTCATGGGAGCAACATGGAATAACATAATTCGGTCTAGTTTATTGTGGTGTTTTTTGTGGTGCACAGCCTATCAACAAGATATGCATTAAGTTGGGAGAGGGAGTTGGCTGTTTGCATTGCAAGAGATGCCATGTTTGAAAGAGTAATATTAGATTAGTGCCTGCTTGTTCCCAATGGGATCAATGAATGTTTCAACCCATGTACAAATCTAATCTCCCCCCTCCCCCACTTTTTGTGGGTTATTTTCTAGATGCAAAAACAAGTAATGAAGTTGACTTGGAAAATTCCATGGAATGGGAAGTGAAGACAATAACAAGCGCAATGAAACTATACTTAAGGTAACATTAAGCTTTAAAGTTACTGTAATCTAACTTAGTTATGACATACGGAAGATCTAAATCGGGCATAAGCAAACTCGGCCCTCCAGATGACCACTAGGGATGATGGGAGTTGTAGTCCCAAAACATCTGGAGGGCCGAGTTTGCCTATGCTTGATTTAAATATTGTACTGTTCCACTGAAAAGTGCAAATTTATTATAGAAGGTTATGACACTGCAGTTTGTGGAAATATTAAAAATAAAACACTCATAGTCTGCACCTATGGACTGTCCTGCAGAACACATGGACTGTGGGGTAAGGATCCTGATTTCTTTACTCTTATATACCAGGGGAATGATACCCAAGGGGATATCTGGTGAGATGGGGATTCCTCCCACTGTTATAAAAAGTGCACCAAATGTGGTGGGAGAAAGTATATGGATTTTATTCTTTGGACGTGTTTGTACTTGGAATAGTAATACATATTAATAGGCATTCTTAATAATTCCACACCGTTTGTCTTAACAGAAGCCTTCCAGAGCCCCTGATGACGTATGATTTACACGGAGAGTTCATCGTTCCTGCCAGTAAATATTTGACTTACAAATACATCTTACTTCTTTTAAAACAGTTACGATGGAGATCAGGGAATAGTAGCCTCAATTAAATTTCTACTTTGAGTAAATTAACTCAAACATTTTTTACATGGAAATCATTTGAAAACTGTTTTTTCTTCCCTCCCCTCAATATATTATATACATAAAAATGATCTGCATATTAATAGCCTCATGCAGTAAAACACTGACAGTCTTGGATATACTTAAAGTTTTAATATTACCTACAACATTGTTTAGCTTATTTTAAAACTAGTGCTAGCCTTACTGCGGAAGTACCTTTTCATGTCTCTGTTAATTCCTCCTCCCCCTGCAAAATAATATACCCCAGAAATGGTAGTGTTACATAAACCTATACATCTCAAAATCTCCTATTACCTGATACTTCTTTGCACTGAGATCCTTGTGAGGTCCATATCCCAAGCTCAGTTGGTTAGAGTGTGGTGCTTGATAGCATGAAGGTCATAGGTTCGAACCCTGTATGGACCACTTGCATATTCTTGCATTGCAAGGTGTTAGACTAAATGACTCTCAGGGTCCCTTCCAACTCTACAATTCTGTGATTCTTATGTGTTCCTAGAAGTCATGAATGTACAGGTGGAGTTAAACTTTTATCAACTAAAAGGAAGACTTGGAGAAGGCAGCACATCAGCTGCAGAAATATAATTCATTTTAAGGTGAAAAAGACATTATGGGCAGCAGATTTTGGCAAAATATCAATGAGATACCTAGGCAAGTGAAAATATTCTGTAAAGCAATGAAGTAGCTTTTATTTTAAAAAAGGTGTGCAACAGACAGTTTACCCTTTCATTGGTTAGCCTTGTTTATTCATAGTTTATATTAAGTAGGCTGAACACACAAGGCACAATGGAGAACAGCCTGCAAAAGATTGGCTACCTAGTTCAAATCTGTGTACATGAGAGAGAAGTTCTGCCTCAACCCACCTGTGCTGCCTCTTCATTCTCATTACCACCTGTAGTTACGATGCGATGACATTAGATTCCACAACCGGCATCATTTCTCTTCTTTTCCAATATGAAGATTATAACAACTAGACTGTAGCTACTCAGCCTGAGCCTTTCTGGCCCATGTCTCCCCTTGCTATTCCATTAGCACCTTCTTTCCTTTGTTACCTGTTTCCTTACCCCATTTTTCTTACCCCTAAATGGTTTTCCCCTACTCCCTTCCCCTACTCCCTTCCCCTGCACCCCCTTGCCTCATCTTCCACACTGTTCCTGTGGGTCCTTCAACCCTCTGGAACAGATATTCAGGAAGACACAGTAGCAGGAAGAGGGAATTGAAGAAAATTGCCTCGCCTTCCCTTACGTTAGCAGATGCCTCTGCTTGATTTGATTTCACTATGTCAAGAGAATAAAAAGGTCATTCTGCTACAGTAATATAATTTCTTACTCTGCAGTTTCTTTCTAGAGAAATGGAAGTGGCTAACCAAAATAATAGCATTGATCTAAAAAAAATACTGAGGGTAGAAAAGAAACGATAACTAAAATACCATACTTCCCCCCTCCAAAAAAAGAGAGAGAAAGCCAGGAATAAGGAGAAATGGGGAAATACTTGGTTTTCTTTTTTTTATCAATAATGCATATTGTGCCAAATGTATGACTAATAATTACTTCTTCATTCTTTTATGTAGAAAGTGGCACCCCCGAGTCCCGTGTTAACGCTATCCATTTCTTGGTTCATAAACTTCCAGACAAGAACAAAGAAATGCTCGATATTTTGGTGAAACACTTAGCAAAGTAAGCATCTTGTCTTCTAATTTAGTTCTCAGATGTTTAAAAAGTAGGCTTAATTATGTTCAGAGATGAATTCTGTTCTATACAGGAACATAATTTACAACACAGATGTGAAGCTTGCCTTGTTCTGTATGTTTCTTAGGAGAAATAAGCTGAAATGCAATCCATTGATGAAGTCATCCAAGTGTTTGCTTAACAGTTTTAGATGTTTATTGTGGGTTTGATCAAAGGTAAAGAGAGGGTTTTTTTTGTAAATCTTTGGAGATTCATTGGTAAATTTAAATTGGCTTCACACTGCTTCCTTGTGATAGTCTAATGTGTTAGTGTATCTTCAGATTCATTTGGTTTTAGAGTGTAACTATCAGGTTTTCTTCTATTTCAAAACTTGGAAAGAAAAGTGGGGAAACCATTATACAAGTTCAGCTAGGGAAATCTCCTGCCCACCTTGAAAGTTCTGCTTTATAACTTCATAATTTTGAATGTTCTCTTTTTCTTTTTGTTCTTCAAAAGCGTTTCAAAGCATGCCAAGAAGAATCTCATGACTGTAGCAAATTTAGGAGTAGTGTTTGGACCAACATTAATGCGACCACAGGAAGAAACTGTGGCTGCCCTCATGGACCTGAAGTTTCAGAATATTGTAGTGGAGATCCTAATTGAAAACCATGATAAGGTAAACTGAGAGAAGCAGGGAGGATTTTGCTTTTATTCCACAATATGTAATGTACAGTCTTTTTTTATATTTATATTTAGCAACATGAGGTTTAACATGTTCCTATGTTCAGACTGATTGCTGTTAGTTTTTTCTTGTCAAAATAATATCATCCACACAAAAGGTATCTGCTAGCTTGGGGAAAAGGTTTGCAGAAGTCCCAAAAAAAACTTTGGGGGGGGGGATTGTTCAGTGAGCATTACAAATGATTAGTGGGCAAATTGTTTACAGACTGTTGGAGAGAAAACCCAGGAAACTGGTGGAAGGGTGAATGGAATGTCTTGCAAAAGGGTGTAATGGGCTTCTTGGACAGGTGCCTCACACTGATTTTATTCCATGCTCATGATATTGTTTTATTTCTTGTGTTACTTGTGTAATACAGTAATACTAGCTCTTCAAATAATATGAAAATTTGAAAGAAGTCCAACACCATTAAATGCCACCACCCCTTTTTCAATAGGGTCTGTTCATGCCTAAAGCACTAAAGTTCTGCAACCTATCATTTACTCTAAACTGTTCAATTTCATTTTCTCCCTACCACACCCTCCCTACTACAATCTCCCATTTAACTCACATGTGACTTTATAGAATCTCATTCATTTCCAGCTCATTGGTTCACAGTATCCACTGCTTCAGCTTTTCTCCCATGCTGCCCAATTGTACCCAATTGAATTTAGTGCCTTCTAGTTCTCAAGCGCGGGTGGCGCTGTGGTCTAAACCACAGAGCCTAGGGCTTGCTGATCGGAAGGTCGGCAGTTCGAATCCCCACAACAGGGTGAGCTCCCGTTGTTCGGTCCCAGCTCCTGCCCACCTAGCAGTTCAAAAGCACGTCAAGTGCAAGTAGATTAATAGGTGGGAAGGTAAATGGCGTTTCCGTGCGCTGCTCTGGTTCGCCAGAAGCAGCTTAGTCATGCTGGCCACATGACCCGGAAGCTGTCTGCAGACAAATGCCGGCTCCCTCGGCCTATAGAGCGAGATGAGTGCACAACCCCAGAGTTGTCCACGACTGGACCTAACAGTCAGAGGTACCTTTACCTTTAGTGCTCAAGGCAGGAACATGCTTGCCTCTTAGGAACTTTTAAACTGCCCCTTTCCCCAGTACGGGCTTTGGAGTACATTGTGTGTCATTGCAATAACTCTTGATGCCTTCTCAGTATTTCATATATCAGAAGCTTTGAGGGCAAGCACTGAATTTCAGAAATATTCTCTATTGTCAAATTGACGAGAAACCTTTCCCTCATGTTAAAGGCAAGGAAACTTGTGCCCATATAGAAAGATGCCAGGGTATGGTCTGGAAGCCCTTGATGCAATAACCTCGTTGAAGCTAAGTCTGGTTCTGATCAATGCCTAGATAGGAGAACCCCAGAGAACCCTGTGCACTGCTTTGAATTCCATGGACAAAAAAAGCAGCATATAAATGAAACAGAACTAAATAAAATAGTTGACTGAGGTGCCCAGGTTGATGCATGTTACGTGCTTGAATTGGAGGTGTGTTTATTCAAAACACATACCAATCTATTCTAATCAATGCACAATAGAATAATGAATTGTGCAACAGCAAGTTTTACACCATTACTTAGTCCATTAAACATTTGTAAGCATTGCTTGAAAACTTCTGAGTGGCAGCTATAGCAAAGAAAGGACTCATAAGCCATCACCATTGATCCCTTCGTATCCATTTTGCTGTCCTACCTCACCATTTATATAAATGGCACCAGACTAGAGAGGGCCCCCCCCCGACTTCTTGCTTTTGCTTTAGGAAATTAATGTTGACTTTATGCTTAAGGTTGTAGTCTTAGTATTTTTATCTGCATTCCAAAAAATAAAAATCCAGGGAAATGAGAATGAAAAGTATTGACTTCTATTGCTCAGTCTTCATACTTTCCTCAGGGTTCTGAGAAATATAAGTTATATTTTACTTTAATATTTTTAATTGCTTTTATATTTCTACCACCACTTCTGCACTTGCCAGAAAGTGTCTGATTATTCGTCTGACTCTTCTCTCCCCCACACACACTCCTGCTGCTTTCCAGACTGGCAAAAAGCTTGCTTTTGGTATGGTGGAGACTCAGCTAGATTCATTATAGGCAAACTGGCAGACAGATGTCTATAGAAGCACCACATCAATGCAGTCTAGAAATGTTTTCTTTTTAAAAATTAATTTTATTTTCCCAGACAGTAAAATCAGAGAGGTGGCAGTAGAGGCAAATGGATTTTTCAGAGGCTGCACTTTAGCTCCCATGCAAAAGGAACTCTACTTACTCTTGACATTCTAAGACAAGTCTCTTTTATTATTGGGAAAGATACAAGAGACTAGCTAATAAATTCATGGTAAGAAAGAAATCTAGTTTATTATTAATCAACCTTCACATGCACCGTGTCACTAATACTTATGACATCTACATGAGCTCAACAATATTATCTTCATATTACAGATAGGAACTGTTGGTGAAGGGTTTAAGAAGTTATGGAGTGGGTTAACGGCCCAGTTAAAATTTTAACTAAAGATATTTAACTTATCAGACATGTTGTTAACCACAGGGCTACACCAGTACTAAAGAGTGGCAAGAAGTATTTACGCCTGATTGAGTATGGATTGGTTGAAACGGAGATCATAATAGTTTATTCTGAAGTTTTCACCTTAAGATTATTTGTTAAATCCACAAATTCCATACCTCTTGTGTTAGATAGGAAAAAATAAGGGGGTGTGTATGCATTTATGTGTCAGGACTGGGCTATGGGCAGCAAATCCTGAGGCAAGCAAGAAGCCTTCAGACAAATCAGTTGTCAGCACTAAAGAAGGATCACCAAAGCTCATTAGAATTGAGCGAAGTATATGTTTTAAGAATACTTTGTGTTCACACCAGTGCTTTTGTAGTGCTCATCTGAAGCCTTTTATACTTCCCAGGTGGGTTGCTTAGGTGGGTAGAGTCAGCCCACGCCCTGAAGGTACCATATTTTTCGCTCTATAACACGCACCAGACCATAACACGCACATAGTTTTTAGAGGAGGAAAACAAGAAAAA